TTTTTATTATATTTTATTTATACCAGAATAAAAAGTATATTAAAAAAATATTTAAATATATTTTTTATAAGATTACATCTTATTCTAAATGTTATTAAAATAGAAAAAAAACTTTCATTGGGAAAGTTAAATTTTCTAAACATTTAACTACGTCGTTTATCTAAAAATCGATAAGTTTGCAACAGTGCTTGCGTGACTACCAGAGCTGAATATTGGCGTTATTAAATCTTTAAAAACGTGCAACTATCGTTTTACTATATTTTATTTTTATTCTACTATTTTACAATAAATCACGGCATGTGGGATGTTTAGTAATAAATATAAATCTGTACTAACTTGTGAATTATACTAGCTCCTTTTTTTGCATACGCGCGTGCCGTTTAAAAAAGACTGCAACATAAATATAATTTGTAGAATGAGTTGTTGTTCTAGACTTTGAAAAATACGTCAACATGATTCAATCATATAAATAGTCATACAATCGTCATATCTGTATTCTCATGAGACAACAAGCATCGCTTCGGAGAATTCTTGGCAATATATTTTGTAAGATTATGAGAATTTTACATGAAATTGATTTATAAAAGTCTCAACGTTACATAATTGATTTTTAAGCTGCCAAAGCAAAACGAATTTCAAAATTAAATATCGAGATAATTAAACGTTGCATCTTATTCTCATTGGTATATGCGTGAATAAAAATCACAAAAAATTAAATTTATTATACATTAAAGAAAAATCATTGTTGATGTACATTTTCTTTGAGACACCCGGTAAAGAATAAGATCGCAACATTCTTCGTCGCATAGTCGCGCTGTGATGCATTTTAACCTTCCGAAGTCCACAAAGAAATCGCCGTTACGACTCGCTGTCACGATCTTTCGACGTGTTATCGCCTTCTGATAACATTGAAAACTGCGCACGCCTATTGTACAATCCCTCAGGATGATAATATATTTATTTATCAGTCACATGTCGCGATGCATAATTGTTTGATATTTACTAATAATCAATTAAAACAATCCCTGTAATTGGGAAAAACCTGCATACAAGTGCATCGAACGTGCATGATCTGTTGATGTAAAAAATAAGTTCACATAATCCGTGCTGTAGCAATTACGTAAGATCTAAATATTTTACATAAGCCTTGCAAAGGAGAAACAATTTGACTGATAATTACCGTACACATATTATAAAATAAAGATGAAATCGCCTAATATAGTTTCTTCTCAATCCCCTAGGATTAAGAGAAGCCCTTATTTTATAAATTTTGATTGAAAACTTGATTTAAAATTTTCTATAATAGCGCCAAGTATGTCCGACTTATCGTAAATTAATTTATGACTTATTTTAGAATCGAACAAAGAATAAACTCACTGATATAAATAATCGGGAGATCAGATTCTTCTTTCGGATGTTATATAATAGTTTACTCTTTCAATTTAAGATCCAGTATATTTCGACAAATCATGATTCTGCTTTAAAATTAATTAAAAGATTTTAATAATTGTATCGTATTGTATCTACAAAATAAATCTCTTTTTACCTAAAAATTAATTTTCTTATGCCGCGGTTCTTAGTATCTCGAGGTACAGAACTTTAGTCAGTTATGTAATCTTTGCAATCTCTGGTCTAGTTCGATTGTGCAATAGGGTTATTATTCTGATAGCAGTACATCTGCTGTGAATTTGCGTACCGTCGTTATTATACTAATTGTAAAGATATGCTCATTTTTATTTTTCTCTTTGTTCTTACATTTCAGAAATATGTTCTCAGCCGTCCTCATTCTTTTCATTTTTAATTTATAATCATAAAATTATACAAGATTGATGTTCTACATTTATTGACTTGTTTTATATCATAATTTATATTATGTATTTAGCATATGTAACCTTTATATGAATAACAAATGGAAAAAAATAAATTTTGTATAATATGATAAGAGAACTTTGTGTTAAATAGAGGAATTAATTGCGGATAGACTTAGGAAATAGATGATATAAATGCGTAGCCAGGTTGTGCTATATGCATTTAATTGCTACGATATGTGACGCGTTTGACGCAATAACTTTTCAAGTACGTATCGATTCAATAACAGAAAACAGAAGTAAGCAAAATAAACTTTCTTATAAGGCAACAATTTAATGAAACTGAAACTTTAATTAGAAATATAATTTTGGAAATAATTAATAATTAATCTATTAAAATTTTATATTCATTACAAGTTTTAGTATTTGTATGATATGGTAATTTTCTACATTCTCTAATTCTCTTAATCTTATATAAGATCGGAAGCTCTCTCTAAAAGTTTTAATGAATAAATTATTGATGAAGCAATATTCAAAAACACATTTGGAATTAAATTAATAATGAAATATTATCCAACTTAAACAATATTTTAGTTGTTATTTAACTTTAATTAAACAAGACTAATACGCTAAAACTTTTATATTCACTCTTCATATTCACACTTTATGATTAATGCAGTAAGACACGAATCTAAAAAGATGTTCTACATAATACTACACATATTTGCCATTAATCATATATAACAAAGTCTTAAAATATTTAATTTAAATATTTAATTTTTAAATATAGAGCATAAAAATATTTTTTCTAATTTTGTACGCAACGATTATGTTTACAAGTTTAAAAATGCGATGCTCTTCCATAAGCGATTATTTATTGAAAAGAAAAGTTAAAGGTGTTTTTATCACATTTTTACATCGCCAGTTACACGCACGATGCGCATTTTTATTTATGTCGAATTTCAAATAAAACATGTTTCGGTGGGAGAACAGCTCTTAGTCTTCTCTTCAAGAGAAGACAAAGCTCATTGTCAATGATAAGTCTTTAATTTTACACATCATAAAGTTTAAGATCTTTTGCCTGCCTCTCGTATTAAAGCGGATGATTCTGAGAATAATAGAATTTCTAAATTTTTCACCGAACCGATATATACAATAGATGCCTTTTTTCACACTTATTAGATTTTTATAGAAAAACATTTTTGGGCAACGATAATATTGTCGATATACGTTATAGAGAGAGAATACTTTATACTTTATATGAAAAAATTTTCAATTTATACATATATCATATACTTTTATCATTATTAAAACAAATTAGATTTTTCACAAAAAATTTATTTGGCAAAAAATATATTTTATACATATAATGTAATATTTTTAAAAATTGCTCATTGCTATACCTGAAAAACTGAACCTAGAATCTTGTTATCTAATTATTTTATTTGTCTGCATCGTCGACATGATGCATATTCATTTTTATTCCAGTTATTCTAACTAGACCAATCAAATTCTTTTTATTGAAACTGATGCAACCCATGCCTGGTATGCTGTAATAATAATAATAATGCTATATTAGAAAAGATCATGATATCGAATAACTCATCGATCTGTCAACAGGAATTTGTAATTGGCTATATAGAAATGCTGATATCTCGAAAACCGGTTATATTCTTTTTGTTTTGTTCTGATTCAATGCAGCCATAAATTAACGCCGATCATAATAACTAATTCCTTAAAGGTAAGCTAGTCAAAATTAGCAACCGCGTTCTAATAATGAACAGAATTAATACGCAATGCAGTTTATGGGGAATTATATAATTAAAATATTATTGAATAAATAAACATGTGTATATATGTATAATTATGTTAATTTTTTTAATATGATTAAACTGAGTATTTAAAAAATTTTTCTGAAATTGAAAAAACATAAATATCCGCGTCTTTCATTTCAACTTATAGTAATTGAAAAAACATATTAAACAAATAGCGACATTTTTTACTATTTGAGATTGCAGTTGATGAATTTACCAGTCGAGAAAAGAGCGTCCATTAGTCTAATATGCCAAAATGGGATCAAGGCCCGCCTACACATTATTTATATTTCTTTTCCTCTCTTTTTCCTATGAATCACGCGTTGACATCATAGCGGTTATCATCGGATGGCCTATTCTGCAAACTGCTGCTGTCACAGCAAATATGAGCTGCAGTCTATTAGCAATTATTCAGTGCATTAAACATCATATTAAAAAAATTTATATTTCACATTATTTCCTAACATTGGACTTTCTTATTTATTATCACGAAAAGTTAGGTATGATACTCGATGTACCTTTACAACAATTATTATCGATCAAACTCTGTGAACATTAATTATAATATTAATAATTCATTGTATATTTTGTATTCGACTAATATGCTTTAATTAACAATAATGTACAATACATAATTGATTGACTTTTCCTTTCAATATCGCAATAATTATTTAAATAATATACCTTGCAGGAAAAATAAGTAGTAAATATATTTGACTCATAAATTAAGATTTATTATGCGTTTCAGTTGACAACGAAATTTACTTATAGATATATGAAAAAAAATTCAAGTTTTTTACACATCATTTTTATGCGATTTAAAAAAATGAAATAAATGTGCGTGGACACAATATCACATATACGAGTCAATTGTATTTACATATATCGGCACACCAGTTCCGTGATCTGCGCACAGAGAAGCATAACATCCATAGCTTATTTTATCGCATGAACTGGTTTCGAACTTATCGTCCTCTGCCATACGCAACGATAAACGCTTCGTAGCCAGTAAACGATTCGTCGATTTATGGTTTCTATTATTGATTATATTGTACAAATATACCACACACATTTTACGGTTCTTTTTGCCGTATATTTTTTTTTCTTTGCTAATGCGATATACTCGCGATGATATCTGTTTAATAATTTTTCTCATATCTAACTCCAACGAAGTTGACCAAGAATTTATTCCAAAACGCTCTTTCTAAATGTAAAAGACTATATACGAATAAATATTTTCTGCCTAAGTTGTTGAGATCTACTAATGCATACATATGTGAAAAATAATAAATCGCTACAATTCATAAACGTGCTATCTGAACACTGAACACGTGCGCACGCAAAATAAATATGTATTAATTTAATTCTTTTGTTGCAGAAAACGGCAGCAGTTTAAAGATTCTTTTGAGCTTTGCCATGGGTGCATTATTGGGTGATGTTTTTCTACATCTTTTGCCGGAAGCATTCCAGAGTGAATTACAAACAAAAGGTAATTTTATTTAACCTTATATTCTATTACATGACTACTTAGATTAGTGGATTTTAATCTTATCGCTTATAAGAAAATTTTAATATATCATAAAAGTCACCTATTATTATAAGATAAGATTGACGTTGTTATCGTAAAAATACAAAAAGTTGTGATTACAGCAACACAGATAAATATAATCACGATATGAAAAATTATAGAAATTTCGGTGTACTATGCAAGAGAGCCGAATTTTATTGATATAAAATTTCTATTCATGCAATATTTAATTGCAATAACTAATAAATAGAGCAGTATTTGTGCATTGCGCAAAATTAGCAACTTTATCAGGAGGAAATGTTGGTGAAAGAAAAAACCGAGTAATCTAAATTATTTAATGAATCTTATTACTTTGATATTTCTCTCTCTCTCTAGCATTGCAAAATCTCACATATAACGATGTGAATATATAATGTATTCGATATTTCCCTATATTATTTTTATATAATGTGTACATATACCACATGTGCTCTGAACGCATTTTGTAATCTCCACTAGTAGAATACGTCCCTGGTCTTCTCAGGTCGAGAGAGCTTTATGAACGATTTAAGCGGCGGCTTCGAACTCTATTGTGCATCAGTTGCAGATTTGAATTGCCAGCTGCGTCCATGTAAATTACATGTCTTTCCGACCGAATCACGTTAGGAATTCGAGATGATCGGTGGGCTAGTAATGACCGTGTAAATTGATCGTTTTTGAATTGCAAATTTTCCAGCCTTGATTTTACATTCGTTGCATTTATCGACGATTTGAAAAAGGTCAAGCACTAAATTATATAATTTAAATAATCTTATAAATATTAACGAATCAATAAAGAATACATTAAAGAATATAACTTATGCGTATGTATATAAATGAACATATATTTAATAAATAATATTGTAGATGAGATAAATTATAAATTACAATTCTCTTGATTTATTCGCGAATATCTCATTCCATTCTCTTTTCTCTTTATTCTCAATTATCTTATTTCTTCAGAGATATTTATAAACATGTTGACATTACATATTGACTTTTATTTATAGGTAAAAATAATCATTTATTCATGCGCCCGGGTTTGTCGGTGTTATCGGCTTTTTTATTCTTCGTGATCATCGAAAAATTCGTCACCACTATAAACGAGGAAGCAGCAATCATTCCAGAGCAGACTGATGAAACTCCAATTAATGATGCAAGTAAAGAAAAAGAGATGGATAATAATAATTGTATTACGCTAAACACGGAGAAGAACGGTTTCGCAAAAGAATGCTTCAAAAATTCGACCGAGGTAAATTTTTTTAAATAAAAGATAATTATTTTATATTACCTAAAACTAATGTAATATATGTTATATTATCTAAAATTAATGTCGTATATTATCTAAATTTAGTATAGATATATCTATAAAATAATCAAACATCTTTTACGCACAACAGGTACAATCTTTCCTGGAGAAACAATACGGCAAGAATAGACAAACTCCAAACCATGTCAAAGATCTGCGAAAGAATGGTTTTAAAAACACTGACATTATGAAATCCGCATTGTCAAACGGATGTCCTAATGATGGCCCATTGGTTGATGAAGCGAAGTGTTGCTTGAAGAAACTTGCGAAGAGCAACGGTTTCACATCGACAATCTCACGCGCTAATCCTCCACACGTAATCCCATCAAATAATATGCGTTTGATAGCGTGGGCAAAAAAACTCACATCAAATTTATTCCGTAAATTGTTCAATCCTAAAGCCTTTCCTGGATACCTCAATCTTTTGATGAATTTCCTCGATAATTTTACTCACGGTTTATCTGTGGGTGGATCGTTCCTTATTTCCTTCCGCGTGGGTGTCCTCAGCACGTTCACTATTTTGGTGCACGAAATACCTCACGAGGTTGGCGATTTCGCTATTTTATTACGAAGCGGATTTAGCAGATGGGATGCTGCGCGGGCGCAGTTAATCACGGCCAGTGGTGGAATCGTTGGTGCTTTAGCTGCCGTCTCTTTTTCTGGTAGTTTAGGTAAATAATCACAAAAATTTACAGTGTACAACGTAATGTACATGTAACTCAGCTTTGAAAACTTGAGAATTAAAATTATAGTTATTTATTTATTTTTTTTTTTTTTTATTTTGAATTTTTTTTTTTTTTTTTTTTATTAGCTTAATTCCAATTGTTTTGTCATTATTAGCATTAAAATAATATTTCTTTTCTAACTTGTTTTTATGTAAAGCACCAAACTTCTAAAATAATATTTTTATGTGCAGTATATCATGTAAATAATATATTTTTAAGTTGATATTTGATATTTATGAGTTTAAAAAATTTTTTAATTTTTTTATAAAATAGTATTTAGGAAGTTATATGTAATGTGTTTGATCTTGTTATTTTCAGAAGAAAGAACCAGTTGGATATTGCCATTGACTGCAGGAGGATTTATACATATTGGTTTGGTAACTATCTTGCCCGATCTATTAAAAGAAACAAATACAAAAGAGTCATTAAAGCAATTCGGTGCTCTACTTTTTGGGGTTATTATTATGGCCGCGCTGATGTTTGTTTAAGTGAAATATAGAGAAGTCGAATAATTTCATTAGAGGATTAGTAAAAAGAATTTCTATTATGTTAGTAAACTGACAATGAGTGCAATTTTACCGGACCTATATGTTTCGGTATATATCATCAGTACAGTACTCCAAAGTTGCCATAAAATTACTTATTGCTCAACGGAGATGGAATATTCGAGGAAGGAAAACTAGCGGCGATAAACGACTGACCAAACTCATGTATGATAGATAATCGACTTAGCCTAGTTTATAATATTTTGTATCGGAAATGTTTTATCCAACACACTAAAATATTTATTATAAATTCTAAAATTATCGTTAGTTTTCCGCTCTTGTATAATCTTTAGAAATAATGAGATTATATTCATAGCTTGAATCTTCTGGTTTACCGAAAACCTTAAATCCAAAGTAATAATGATCCAAGATGCGTTCTTGCAATAAATAACAGAGATATAAAGAGTATAATTTGTATATTTTATTACAATTAGATTACTTCAATGTTATCATTAATGACAAGATAATTCGAAAAATTGTTATAAACCCCTCACTGTTATAATTTATGAATTAATATGTATGTTCTGTCATAAGCTAAAACAGTATCGATATCTTCCAGCATGTCATAATGTGATGGATTATTTTTTCTGGTAACAAGATACTGTAATACTAATATAAAAATTAAATCTAAAGCCAGTATTGACATATAATCATCATGGTTTGAATAAATTTGAGAGTTAATTATATAATGTTTATACTATTGGTTTGTATAAAGATATACGAGAATTGCAATGAAAATCCTCAATGGATATGTTATATACATGCATTTATAGCACAGATACGAACACATTAAAAATATACTAGCAAATACATGTATATATTCAGTTCCTAAAGTTAATTATAAGTAATACATAATTAGATCAGCTCTTTTTAAGAAATATTCACATAATAAAAGAAAAAAAAAAGTATTCCATGTGTTGCACAGAATTGAGAAATAAAAATTGTGCGCATTCTGAGTTTATAATTAAATAAATTTGGATAAAACATGAAATAACATTTGCATACAAATTTTGTAAAAAATCCAGATTTAGATAGAGCATATTTGATAAAACTTCATAAGATTGCGCATAGAAATAGATTACATTTTAATAGACCTTATAATATCTAATGAGTAAAGTGAATTGATTACACACATATATAGACACACACAGATCAAATAAAATTAATTATGTTTCTTTCATCTGCATAACTTTACTATTATATAATGATATTAATTATTCGGTATAAAATATTCATAAAGTATATATCATATATTTTGATGCAACTATTCATAAATAAAACAGAAAAAATTTGAAACTTAATATATATATTCTAACTTTTAATAT